TTTATTCATAGATTGGAAGAGGAAAAGAAGCTTTCCTGCTTTCTCAACTCCCCGTCAGTATCTGAAATTTGAATGAACATGTCGTTGAACTGAACTAGCTGAATACACTGAAATGAAGAAAATATTCTTTCTGTGCCTGCAGAAGAGGCTACTGCTGTCAAAAGCTGGTTTTACCCTTTCAACAAACTCTGGTTCCAGGTGCTCAGACAACGACTTCCAAGAATTCAGTGGTTTGACGTCCATTAAAACTGGGCAGCAAACACAGACGAAACTATTGCAAGTTTAGGCATTAACATGGGTTGTCATAATTTCAAATTTAATCCCCAATAGTCTTGTTTTTAAACAAACAAACAAACAAACAAACAAACAAACAAACATGTTTTTTATTTAAATGAAAATAATCCAATTGACATTTTTCTTAAATCCCTTTTGTGGTTTTTTTGTTTTTGAAAAAATCCTTTTTATTCACTCTGATTTTAGAAGAACTTCCACATTCAAGTTAATCATAAACTGCTCATATTCGGTTATAGGAGAGAAAGCAGCAAAATTCATCATATCAATCATTCTTTGAAAATTATTTACTTGATCTTAAAAGAGACTAAGTAGAGGGTCAGACACTTGATTGTTTCTGTAGGCCCAGTTTCCATCCCTGAACCAGTAACAATTGCACGGGATAATGCCCAAAACCCTACAGTTTATTGTCAAATCATCTGAGCCATTCCTCGTCTGTTCTTCTTGTTTCAGAAGTTTCAGATGAACAAAAACTTCCCCTTGGCAGTCGGTGCCCATGTGGCGCTGCAGGCAGAGGAGCTGAGCAGTAACCTTGTGACATCGACCATAACTCAGCAACCCGCCCATCACTCACTCACTCACTCCACTAACCCTGATCTTAAATCCTCACCCTGCCACCTGCCTGGGTCAGCTCTCCCCATTGAAACCCGAAGGTTGACTCATTTTAACCAATGGGGTTGAATTATGCAAATCTCCTGGAGAGAGTTAGCACTGACTGGCTGAGTTAACTCTGATGTCACAAAGCGCCTCCGCCTAGAGCACCAATTTAATGGGCGTGGTGCAGAAAATCAGGCTTTTCTGGTGCTGCTGTTTTCCACTTGTCACCAAAACCAACAAGGTTCTTCCCACTGATACCTAGAAATTTTGGAATCAGTTTACATTCTGTCCCAGAAGTGCTGCAGTTCTGCCTGTTGCCCAGCAGGGGGCCGCTGTGGCGCCAGAACAGCGGGCTGTGTTCCTACTGCTGGCTGCTGTGGCACCACAGTGGCCTCTGGTGGGAAAAAGGCAGAACTGCAGCACTTGGGCAGAAACAACGGAGGAGTCCTTGTGTCACCTTAGAGACTAACAAATTTATTTGGGCATCAGCTTTCGTGGGCTAGAGCCACTTCACCGGATGCCTGGAGTGGAAAATACAGGAGCAGGTATATGAAAGGATGGGGGTTGGTTTACCAAGTGTGAGGTCAGTTTAACGAGAGAAATCAATTAACAGCAGGATACCAAGGGAGGAAAAATAACGTTTGAAGTGGTAATGAGCGTGGCCCATTACAGACAGTTGACAAGAAGGTGTGAGTAACAGTAGGAGAAATTAGTATTGGGGAAATTAGGTTTAGGTTTTGTAATGACCCAACCACTCCCAGACTTTATTCAGGCCTAATCTGATGGTGTCCAGTTTGCAAATTAATTCCAGTTCTGCAGCTTCACGTTGGAGTCTGTTTTTGAAGTTTTTTGTTGAAGAATTGCCACTTTGAGGTCTGTTATTGAGTGACCAGGGAGATTGAAGTGTTCTCCGACTGGTTTTTGAATGTTTTGATTCCTGAGGTCAGATTTGTGTCCATTTATTCTTCTGCTTAGAGAAAAATGTATGAAATGGGCAGAATGGATTATATGCAGGGAAAAAACAAAATTACGTGGGACAGATGAATTCTGCACGTCCGCAGATGCGCAGAATTCCCCCAGGAGTAACAGTGTGTGTGTGTGTGTGTGTGTGTGTGTGTGTGTGTCCCTGCTGCCCCCTGCTGGAGGGGCTGGGCCCTGCTCTGTGTGTCAATCACATGGGTCCTGTGCCCTAGTGCAGTGGTTTTCAAAGTTCAGGTTGTGACTCAGTGATGGGTCGTGGAATGACAGGCACTGGGTCCCCTTGCTCAGCACCCAGGGACCCTGGAGGCCGGCCAGTAAAAAGTACTAGTAAAACTACTAATAAAGCTACTAGTCCCTACCCAGCAGCAGGTCCGGCTCATAGGCAGGGGGGCTACAGGGCTCCGCGCGCTGCCCCCGAACCGAACACCGGCTCCACACTCCCATTGGCCAGTGCCACGGCGGGGGCAGTGCCTGCGGGCGAGAGCCACAAGGAGCCGCTTGCACACCTCCGCCTAGGATCCAGACCTGCTGGCTGCTTCTGGGGTGCAGCGCCATCTGGTGGTGCCAGGACAGATGGGAAGCCTGCCTCTGCATCCCGGCTGCGCCGCTGACCGGGAGCAGCTGGAAGTAAGTCTGTGCCCCAACCTCGTGCCCCAATCCCCCGCCCCAGCCTTGAGTCCCCTCAAACCTGGAGCCCCTTCCTGCACCCTGACCCCCTCATCCCCGGCCCCACCCCAGAGCCTGCACCCCCAGCCCAGAGCCCTGACCCTCTCCTATACCCCAACCCCCTGCCCCAGCACAGAGCCTCCTCCCACACCCCTTACCCCTCAGCCCCAGTTCCACTGGGTCATGGGCATCAACAAATTTCTTCACCTGGGTCACCAGAAAAAAAGTTTGAAAACCACTGCCTTAGTGGACCAAGTACCAGGCTGGGCCTCAGGACTCCTGGGTTCTATTCCCAGGTCTGGACTTTGACCAGGTCCCCTCACTCGGTGCCTCAGTTTCCCCATCTGTGCAATTGGGATGGTGACCCAGCCCCTCCCTTGGAGAGCACATCCTGTTAATCTCCTGATTTGTAGTAAACACAGAATCACAAACTGCCCCACCCACTGGCACCCCACAGCCCCCTTGTCCCCACACCAGGAGTGTGTGTAACACCTGGGGGAGATGGGATCGCTCGGGGGGAGAGGCGTGGGGCCCTTCTGCTCTAACTGGTAGACCCCACTTTCCACCCACAGCTGGGGTATATAACAGGGTAGGTGCCGGGCATCAGCTTTACGCAGAGTTTCAGTGGCAGTAGCAGAAACAGCAAGCGAGCGCCGGTTCTGGGCAGACTTTCCCTTTTGTGGTTTTATCGGCTGCTCCTTAAACAACTCAGGATCTAAATTTACCCTACGTCCCCCCATCACAGGGGCCGTAAACCACAACCCCTCCCAGCCCCCCCGTCCCGTCTCTGTCCCACACCACTTGGCTAAGAATAGATCCTGCAGTGGACGTCACCTGAGAAGGAGGTTGGACAGGTCCCTCCATGTGACAAAGTGGGGAATTTTCTTGGTGCTTTGTATGAGCACTGTGATTGCCTCAGTTTCCCCTGTGTGCTGTGTGTGTAACGAGGTGGTGGGAGAGGGGGTTGTTGGTGCAGAGGGCCAGGTGTGACCTCGCCTAGCAGCCAGGACACTGGACAACGCCTGGATGTGGTGGAACCGAGGAAGTGATGACCCGGAGGCCCAGCCCATGTTGGGAGCGGCTGATTCTGGCCAGTGGGGGGACAAAGGCCCGGGAGTCCGAGACAAGGGGTCGGAGGGTACATGAGATGGGGGTAGGGGGCAGAGGTTTGAGAGGAGAAGGGACAGTGTGGGAGCTTGGGGGCTGTAGGGGAGATGGGAGGGGCAGGGGTTGGAGGGGAGACGGGGGCAGGCTGGGGGGGATTTGAAGGGGGATAGATCGGGTGGAGGATGGGAGATAGGGGGTCAGGCTTGGAGGGAGTGACTCTGCTAAGCAACGAATCTGCTGCTCCTTCCCCTCCTGC